CAAATAAAATAAATATATTGAAAAATATAAAAACAATAAAAAATTATACTTCAGAAGTTAATTTAGTATCAGAAACGTAAAATATTTAAGTCGCCCAAGACATAGCCAAAGATTGCAGCGTCATAGCACTGGCGAATAATTTAAATTTGCGGACTGGAATTCTTTTGGACAACTGACGTTTCGGATAATTGACTTTCAAATAATCGACGTTCTACTGTAACTTCCTGTAATGAATTAAGTTCCTATATTGAAGATTCAGTGGATTTGATTTTCGTCTAAATTAAATACGAATTTTATAGAAAGTGAAATTGTTTATTAACACATCTCTCATTCATAATCAAAATATAAATTTATGGATATTGGTATAAAGATATTAAATATATACGTAAAACTATTTGTCTGTCAATCAGAATTTATATTAAAGTTAAAATGCAATTCATTAAATCATACCTATATTTTTGAAACTTTCTATGAAGCAGGAAAAGTAGTCGTTTCGTTTCTCTAATATATTTTATAAAGTATATGTTTGTTTAACTTACACCATCAGAAATTTTCATATTTCCAATTGCTAATTCTGATTTATTAAAAAAAAATAATCGTGCCTCAAGGTACATAAATGTGATTTTTTCGAAAAATGATCACACTATACTTCAGTAGTTACTTCACATTACTTAATAATAAGTATTTTTCAAATTACATTACACTTTTTTTTGGCTTAGCAATCTACATCATCATGGACATGTTTTAAAATAATTAACGAATTAAATTTTCGTACGAAAAAGAAAATAATAACATTTTTAACGTGAAAAAAATATGAAAATAATTAAATACAAATTATACATATCGAATTAATTATTACTTACTTGAGGAATGATTGATATTTTACTACGAAGATCCCGAAGTCCAATGTCTTTAATGTCAACACCATCGATGGTTATCGTTCCTGTTGGCTCTGTCATGCGAAATAACGCAGCAATTATAGAACTTTTTCCTGCTCCTGTTCTCCCAACAATTCCTATCTGCAATTAATTTATAATAAACACCAATTCAGGCAATAATTACGAACAATACTATTCCAATTTGCAGATGTTTTACCTTTTCTCCGGAGCGAATATGAAATGTTAAGTTTTTTAACACAATATTTTTATCCGTGGAGTATTGCAAAGAAACATTATCGAAATGAATTTCTCCTCTTTCTGGCCAATCAGATAGTGGTCGTTTATTAGGCAAACTCTCGTAGGATGCTTCCGATTTCAAATTGCTGTATTTCAGAATGCGTTTTACAGCATTCATCTGGAAAATTTACTTTTTATGAAATAACAATTATATTATCCAAAAAATAAATTATGCGTAGCATTTCATTAAATTTATTGATACAGATATTTTCAGAAAAGGGCCAGTTAACGACGTTAATACTTAGTTTTCCTTCATTTTAAATTAATTTTTATTCTTATTAAACCATTATATTTTCTATGTACAGTACATATATAAACTAAAATTTACTTTTTTTTCATAAAATTTCAGTTTGTAACTTTCGAATAATCTAAAATCTGCAGAACAATGAAAAATTGAATTTTCAACAAAAGTCAATGTATGTATTTGTATGATCTTTCTTACCCTTTGTAAAAAACTTTCTGGCATTTGAAAATTTAAGAAATCTTAAATTGAGTAAATAAATTCAAAAGTTAGCTACTCGTAGTGAGAAAGATATCTGTACGTGTGATGTATTAATTTGCCAAACTCCATTTAGTGTTAGTAACGTTTTTCCATTCGTAAGCTTGATATTTATTTATTAATGGATGTAAATACTTTAATACAAATCTTTAATTTTTCAAAAGTAAAATGAATTTCAGAAAGTATTCAAAAGAGTCAAAAAACGAAATCAAAAGAATTTTAATATCGTTACATCACTAATATGTACACAATGGTTTATTTGCCTTTTCAGACTTTTTTGTGTTTAAGCTGTATGAAAGCCGAATATTTTTAAACCATCAACATGAATTACTACAAGATTAAAATACTTTTCCTTGTTATGTCATAAAAGTCAAAAAAATTTAAGTTAAATATTAGAATAAATACAACGAATTTAAGAAACTAAAATAAACACTGTTTAAAAATCTGTAAATAATTTTTCATTTAAATAAGTACTTGTACAATAAAATGCACGTTACTCGGAGATCAAAAACTCTTATCGTTTGTTAAAGCGCTTTAAAACAATTTATAATAAACTGTTTAGTTTTAAGATAAATTATTTACTTAGATTTCAATTAAAATATTTAAAAGAAACGAGAGAAGGTAAGTATCTTCGGTTGAAATCCTTGTATAAGTTACAAGCATTTAAATTAAGAAAGTAATAATTAATTAAAATTTCTGAGAAGAGTAAAAAGATAAAAAATTTATTTTTTTTAAATTTAATAATAATATACTAAACAAAAAATGCAAAAGAAAAAGTAATCGAATGCAACAAATTTTCAAAATCTATTCGGACTTAATATTGAAATTACTCGAAATAGTAGAAAAGATATGCATAAATAATTAGATTATGGAGAGAAATATATTTTAGCCAGAAGTGTCGAAATAATTTTAAAAATTTATTTTAAAAAGCGATGCATATTGTAAAAGAAAATAGAAAATTTAAATATATAAAATTACTTGTTCTGACTGACTGACTGAGTCACTGATTCACCATTGCCCAGAGCAAACCGCTAAACCTAAAGGTGTGAAACTTGGTACACAGTTAGAGAACGTCGTGAAAATTAGCACTAAGAAGGATTTTTCGAAATTCCCTAGCAACGAGAGAGGGAAAGCATTAAGGCTAAACCTGATGAACGGCTTTTCCTGTACTATTTTAGATGTGTGTTTTGTTTTCAACAACGTTTCGTCTTCATTGAGTTATTAGGTGTATTAAATTGACATTTCAGACACTTAACCAAATGTTCGAACCGTTTTAAAGTCATATTTGTTATTGCATATTGGTTCGATTATAAAACGATTATAAAAGTTCCAGAAAATTGATCAAATTGAAATTAGTTCGTTTGATGCTCGCCAATTCTCATCATTCCAGCGGTAAGTCTTATATAACAATTACTATGGTTGTTGAAATACTGAATATAAATTGGGTTTGCTTGCACAACCTCTCCGGGCGAAGTTGCGGGTAACGGCTAGTAAAATATAAAGTTTTTGATTGCTTTTTGTTCTCTCGTTTTTCTTTGTAATTAAGAAAAAGTTCGCTCTTTGAGAAGATTAAAAAAATGTTTCAAATTTTTTTTCTTTATACTTTTTTTAAAAGGAGCTGTAGTAATATAAAATCACCTACATTGGCACAGCTGACAGGATAGTTGGGACATGTACAAAGGTTAAAAGAATATACAGGTTTTTCTTTGAAAAGGGGGTATAAATATTTTTTCACTTTGTCGACAACAAAATTTCACAGCGGAATGTTAAGCGTAAAAAGTGTTTAAAATGTTGATCTGTGGATCGTGAGAGAAGAGCTTTTTGGCGCAATAGATGATAGTTTGAAGGTATCTGAGTTAAAGGAACTTATTATAAAAAGTAATGAATCTATTAAACTTTTCAGCATTTGAATAACTTACGTATCTGTTACAGTGTTCAAAATTTTTTCTTAACATTTTTTTTAATTTTAAGCTTGTTTTTTAACATTCTATTTGAAACTTAACTTTAGCATTCTTCCAAGCAAAACATGCACAATCAAAAATAAACCATATAAATATAAAACTAGCAACATATATATATATATATATATATATATAAGACAGTTCACATTGTACACAACCTCCCGATATAGTCCTTTGGCAAAGTGAACTCAGGGGGAGACGAGTAGGTCCAATATCACTACAACAATTTCCACTGAATACAGGTTATTCAGTGGAAATTGTTTGATAAATGCTTTCTTTGATAAATGCGTTTCATAATTTTGTCGATGTTACTGTGTAGAGTAAAACACATTCATCAAGTATTCGCAGTATTTTTCAATATTTTTTTGACTATTTAGTAACTGAATAAAAACATTTTTAAATTTAATAATACCAGTGTTATCAAACCAACATAAGAATTTCTTTATTAGGCATTATTTTTTTAATATATGTAGGATAAAATAATAAGTAAAATATGTGCTGTGTGGTTATAAGAAAATATTCTCTTACAAAAAGTTTATCTTTGTCAAAAAATTTCATATCGCCCGATAAAGAAATCTGACTGTTTCGTTTTAAATTATAATTTTTAATTTAATTGAGTAACTATGTAATACCTGAAACTCCACTTCGGATGTCACTCCAATAAGGTGTTGAAAACGTATTATTATTAGTATTCCATAATTCAATACAAGTCCAATTTGGCTTCCTGCATTAACTAAAGCCAGAAGTACATATTAAAAATTATTTATTTTATAAACTATAAATATATAAATATATTCACTCACCTGCTTTATTTGAAACACCTAAAACGATAACAGTGATAATTAGATTTATGAAACANACAAATTTATCTTTCTCAAAAAATTTGATATCGCCCGATAAAAAAATCTGATTGTTTTGTTTAAAATTATTGATATAATTTTTAATCTAGTTAGGTAAATATGTAATACCTGAAATTCCATTTCGGATGCACATCCGATAACATGTTGAACATACAAATTTATTAGTATTCCATAATTCAATATAAGTCCAATTTGGCTTCCTGCGTCATCTAAACCAAGAAGTACATATTAAAAATTATTTATTTTATGAACTGTAAACATATAAATACATTCGCTCACCTGCATTATTTGAGACACCAAAAACAATAACGGTGATAATTAGATTTATGAAACAAATTATGCTACCGTATATGGAAAGCCATCGAATTAAAGCCAAGTAAATAAACCACGTTGCAGTGTGCTTATCCTGATACTTATTAAACATAGATTTAAATTTGCTGTCAGCATTAAATGCTCTAATTGTTGTTAGTCCGTAAAGAGATACACTCAAATGAGAAAATACTGGACTTCTCACTGTGGAAAAAAAGAAATCAATAATTTAAGCGAAGCTATATTTAATATAATAATTATTAACATATTATTTTTAAAAATTAACCAGAATATTTTTACCCGTATCTAGCAAACTACTGATCCCATTTGCGTGTTACTTAAAACGCAAGCAGAACTTCTCTCTGTTTATCCAAAGAGTAATTGAGAAAGATTTTATCCAAAATATGTCAAACCAAAAACCACGAAAAGTTTTTAAATATTGTAATAATTTCTCGCAGAAAAGAATAGCAATATGTCCTGTAGTTGATTTCAGTATAAACTCTATTACACAAGGACTACTCATGATGGTCAAAATGTTCATAAATTGCTGTTGGGAGCTTTATTATAATGAAAAAATTTCCACAATCGAAAGTACATTAAAACTGCTGAACTCTTTTGGTTTGAAGCTAACAAGATGCAACCTGTCAAACACCGCATAATATTACTGTATGAATTTCAATTTTGTGGATCATTATATGCGTCAAATACCTTTGTTACAAAAATAGAGTAATTATTTGCATATTTTAACTCATATATTTAACTCACAGGACGCCTTGAGTAAATGTGGATTTAGCAAAAACGCCGATAATCAAAGAAGTTTGTGAACTTCTGCCACAGATGATATCGACTTCGTTTTGGAAGAATTAACTGATAAATGCATGAATGAAGTGTGGATGAGGTTATGGACGAAAGTATTTAAGAATTCTGAACGAGAATAGTCTGTCGCTATATCGTTAGGTTGAGCGAACCATCATCTTAATCGATACAGCAAGACTAGGAAATTTATACGAGCAGGATAACGAGGAGTTATTGAAGGTTTTACGTGAGAGCCTTACCAAAGACAACCGTTAAGAACTGGCACGAAAAGGAATTTATGCAGAACTAGTGATTCTGATAATGAAGAACCCACAGAATTTCTCTACAGATTCTCTTAGTAAACGTTTGGTAACGATAACCGAACTCGTTAATCAAATTGTAGCGAATGATCCAGAAGTTGAAAGGAGTGCAAAACCAAGATGAAAAGTTTGGGCAGTGGCATAGCGTGGGTGTCAACCGCCTGGGCAAAGGAAAATTTCGCTGCTCCCTTATTTAAGTATCTCAATTTAAAAAACTAAAATTCAGTTTTGTCACAGAATAAGTAATGAAAAATTCCGTGCTAGTGTTGCCATCTTTTTAAAATCGCTGACCCGGACGGCAGGTGAGGTTTGTTCGAACAGAAGTTCCCGACACATATGTATGTCATTTTGCAATGCGAAGAATAATGTGCAGTGCATACCAGTTCAGTTAGCGTCTAGGGAGAATTGGGTAGGAATAACGAAAGTAACCTAGATGACTTAGCTGTATTGGATATTGGGTGTATATGAATACGAGTGATTCATACAGGGGAAAAATAACTGAACAGGATATGCACGAAATCCCGGACTCTCCGGATGATGACACTTTTCATGCTCATTTCAATCGGTCCGAATCGTAGGTGCGACGAAAATATGCGATGAAATGGTTCAAGAGTTTACAAGATATTATTATTATTTATTGTGAAATTTATCCGCCCCTAAAAAGTAATTTTGCCGCCTTCTAAAAAGTGCTGCCCGGGGCGGGGCGCCCCTGCTGCCCCCACTACGCTATGCCACTGAGTTTGGGATGCAATCTCTTGTTGCTAACATTTGCTTACAGAAAAAAAGTGACAAATGAAACTACGTGACTTTTTCGCAAAAAACAAGAATTTCAGAAAAGTCAAGTCCTTCATCTCTAAATATGAAGTTTACAGCTCTGTGTGCATATGTTTATGTGTTTTTAAAAAATGTTATTTTGCAAATTAATATAGAATTAACATAAAATTAAAGTAAAATCTGTTTATTTTTTTTTCGTGTTTTCCTTTTCTAGTTACTCTGAATTAAAATGACTTTGTTTCGTTTAGAACTTTGTCATTTAGGAATGTATACCTGATGCAAAGCTGGTTGTTACTGTACTTAAAACTTTCTCTGTAAATAAATTAACGTTGTTTATTTAATTGAAGGATAATCAACTTTTTCATGTATAATCGCGGAAAATCTGTAATTATAGATTTATCGTAATGTGTATTTTAATATCCACTTGAAATAAGTGAACAGAATACAAATTATCCTTTACTCAAATGTTCTGTAATATTTTTTTTATAAACATTTAAAATTTGTTATGGTAATTTAACTGGTTTCCTTTATGTAAGTGATAGACTGGCTGTTGTCAATTATGATAATGAAATACTGGATTTAATAATGATGAAAAAAGTTCTGACATAAGTAAATCTGTCTTCATAATTACAGAACTAATACATTATTCCTTCACTCTAGTTTTAAGAAATTTTTTAACTTATAAAATTAAGTAATTGTTCATAGTGTTTTGCAATCTAACTCGGCATGATGAAATAGTGTTTTTACTGAGTCTCTTCAACACTGTTTATAGAATTTTGTCGCCATTACTCTACACGAGATTAAGTTAAATATAAAACACTCTTCTATATTCCAAATACTTACATTTTCCTTCCAGATGTTTTATGCTTTTTAACACTCGGCTGAAATTTGTCCACATAGCGTAAAATATTATTGAAAGGACAGCAATTAATACAAGTAGATAAGGACAGACGATTGCTTGAAGTACACACATGCCGACAACAATTAAGCCTCCCTAAAATTAAAAAAATATAAATTGCTAATAAATAGTTCGAGATCTGACAACTTAAGGTTTATACGTTTAAAATAATAGTTTTAGAAGTATTTAAAAAAGTCATCTCTTTTTTCATAAAGGTATGCTGGTGTGTTACAAGTCTGAAACATAAGATATTATGTATCTGTTCTTTTTAAAAGTGACATGGTAATTAATAAAAAAAAACAATTTTAATTATTTTCGCGTTAAAGACCCGCTATCGCTGAGAAGTTGCAAAGTTTTGGTTTTCATTTTTCGGGACATTTACGTTTTTAAAACAATAAATAAAGAAAAAGAGAGTTTAACATGCTGCATCCAGATCAGTGTGTGACACTAGTTGTAATGTCTAGAAGTACTGTGTTAAAATCTTCAAAAATATCTTACTGTTTTTTGAGTTTCCAGAATAAAAATAATCATAGAATTTAAGTACTGAAATCTTTATTTTCATATCTCTGATATATATAACAGGGGGAAAATACGGCAATCGGTCAAAAAGGACCGTTAAGACATTAGATTTTTAGGTTCAGAGAATCTTAAAATGCCAAAAAATGCAAAAAAAAAAAAAAAAAATTGGGGGTAATTTCTGAATGCGTGTGGCACTGTAATTTGTACCTACCGTATGGAAATGTATCACTTAATGATATAATTACTTCGTTATAATTTGTATTCATTTTTATTTTTTTAAATACATTCAATAGTTTAAATAAGTATATTTTTATCATTTGTTTAACAAAGCTAGACTCCAGCTATTTATTTTTCATTATGTCAACATCAACACAGGTTTGCAACTTTGTTTCTAAGGATTCTATTTCTAACTAAAATGCCAAAAAAAAAAAAAAAAAAAAAAAAAAATTCGGGAGCTGCTTCTGTATGTGTGCATGTGTGTGTGTGACATTATTTTGGTCATTCTCCTTGAAGGACAATAACTTATCTGCTTTTTGTCAAAAATATTTGAAGTTTCCAGGGATGTTTGTGTATTGAAGGAATGATGCTACTAAATTTTAATGGCTAAAGTTTGAGGTAGAGAGCAAAGGGAGATCGTGTTTTCTACTTCTGGTAAGCTCGCAATTTAATGACGAGTTTACTCGTTATCAGTATTTAAAACTTTGTATAAAGCTAATGCTTATTCCCAAAATTAAGGTTATTGCTATCTTATAATAATAAAAAATATTATTTTTTTAAAACGACATATTATAACAGAAGACAAAACATGCAAGTATAGATGTTGCCAGGAATGTTAACTACTCGATATTTTATTCTTATTAATCACCATACTACGTTTAAAAAAATAAACCAACAGCAACATAAATCCTATGTTTCCAGATTTATGGTATGTTTTAAATTGAACTTCTTATATTAAATACAGTATTATAGTCAGTCTTTCATGAAACTTGTTTGAGTAAAAACAAGATAAAAATTGCGTTTACTTCAAAATGTATTCCTAGAATCATACAAATCTATTTAAACAAATAAATTATTATCAAGAGTGCTACAAAGCATTTGTCAGAATACATCTGTATTTATTAATTTTAAAGCTGCTTATTAGTTTTTTTGATTTTCCCTCATTATGGCATGTCAAAAATGATCAATAATCAGTATGTAGCTTATTTGTGGCAGGGTTCTAAAAATTCTTTACTTATCAGAACCTGTAACATTTGCAATAATTGAGCTTATGCTGTCTTAATTTTAACCATGACCAGTAGCTTCAAAAACTGCGTAATGCAAGGTTGTGCAAATTGAGCAAGGATACAAACGAGTACGATGTCTGCAAGTATGAAGTTTTTCTTCATAAACCTGATTGTTAAAGCCAAACGAATTGCCAAATTATTGGGCTATAAGCTCGTTGACGCTATTAAAGCAGGCGAGGTAGACAAATCAAAGATACTAGAAAGCAGCAGAAGTACTACAATCTCGAAAACGAACGTGAAATCTTTCAGGCTACAAGTGGAAAAACATAACATCTGACTTCTCTTAAATGCATTAAAAACGATTCCATTACCATCACTTAAATCGGAAAGGGCATTCTCCTTAGCGGGAATTTTCATTACTGTAATAAGAATCAGAATGAAAGATCTCAGTATTGACCATCTTTGCTTTTTAAAAGCAAAGAGGGCCAATACTCAGATTAATTTAATATAAAACTAATATTTCTATTATAAAGTTTTAAAATCTTATTATAAAAATTTACAATAATATTTTGTACTTTTTTATTTAACAAACGAAAATTACTTTTAAAGTTAGTAGTTTGATCTATATTTGTTATGGACAAAGTGATTAATCGGGCATTATAAATAATGACCGGGCATTATGAATAATGACCAAATAGGGCGGGCAGTGTGATAAATATTGATTAATTTATCAAATTGACCGGTCATTATGAATACTGCTATCACCTAGTAGGCCAAAGTGATAATAATAAGTTGAGGAGTGGTCATCTGACATACTCTAGCCAATCGGCACGCTGAGTTGCGTGTGCGTATCTTACAGCGTTTAGTACAGAATTTTAAATTTGATTAAAAAAACTCCACTTATTTCATTTAGAAATATTTATTTTTTGTAAATTATATCAAAGTACTATTAACTATATTAATTAAACTAATATTAACGAAAAGTATTATTAACAATTTTTGGTATAAATTATATAAAAAATTAAATGCTTTTTAGTTTATTTATTTGAGCAGTTAACATTTTCATGACATTTGGAATTACATAATTTTTTTTTCTT